TCTCCATATAAACACTTGAATGAAGCGCACGAGAAGGGAGGATCAAAATTTCTCTTACTATCAAAGAATCTGAGCATGAGTTAAAGGAATAATTGGAGAGAATAGCCAACGACAAGGTAGTTGGGCTAGATGGTATACCTCTTGAGGTATAGAGGGGGGCTAAGAAAGAAAAACATGGGAAGACTAACAAAGTTTTTTTTTTTTTAACAAGACTGAGGTTTAAGAGCATGTTAAATTGACGGTAGAGAAATACTTTAGTTCAAGATCATTAGTAATATACAAAGTTGTATATATATTATCAAGGGAATAACTGAGTCATACTATGAAGCTTTAGGAGAGTAATTAGTGGTGATTATGACAAGAGACAAACATCACTGAAATCAATTTGGCTTTAAATCAAGTTATTGAGAGATTGAAAGGTAAATGGTAATAATGAGTTAATGCACTGCGTGGTTAAATGATCACTAAAGTTCAAGGCAGTTATGCAGCATCTCATGTTTTGATTTGTATTTCAACTGTTTTGATATAATTGGTGGAGAAAGTTTGGCTGTCAACCGGAAGAGTATATAAAATGTTTGTGGTACGTGGAGACACTGCATTTGAGGGTATCTAGAGCCCTCTTCTTATGTTTGATAATTGATATGGAGCTTATCTAATAAATATTTAATATCATTCCTTTGATAGCTTCAGAGTTCCCTTTGTATTGTGAAGTGAAACCAGTAGAAATAGAGTACATCATATCATATCTCACGCCTTCCAATTTGGTCATTCTCTTCATTCCATACAATTTTCACCCTAACCTAGAACACTTCAAAATTTTAGAAATATAAATTTATTGGTTTAATTTGGTCTTTGTAGCCATTGAGATTTCGGCTGAGATAATAAAAGATAAATTGGTATTGAATTTTGATGAACTAGTGATTCATTATAGATCTCAATGTATTGGATATGGCAGTTTTTTGCGTTATTTTTTTATAAATAATATTCTCTCTCCCTCCCTCTGTATGGCCACTGATTCTTGAATGTACTCAGTGTAACACACACTTAGTGAATTTAATTTTGCTATTTTGAGGTGTTCCCTTATTGTCCTACTTCTCTGCAATTATAACTCCTAAGCAGCGTTAGAAAATGCGCCATTTGTGATTTGAATCTTATGAGCTATTAGTTATGCTTTAGCTTGTAACCAATCAGATATAATTTTCTTATGTCGTTAGGTACACAAGTGAAGATAGTGATGGTGATTACTACAGAGATTCGTGTAGTGAAGGAAGCAGTGATTGTGAATACGGAAAGAAGACCGAATGTCTTACGGCACATAGAAGCAGCAAACACTCGACTAGTAGTGTCTCTTCTCAAATGAGCACACTGTCTATACATGACAGACACAATACAGTACAAGAAGGCTTTTCTAGTAGTGATGATAGTGAAACTGGGAATCCTCAAGAACTTCTTTTTCAATATCTGGAACAAGGTCATCCTTATAGCCGAGAACCGCTGACTGACAAGGCAATGTCTCATCTTAATTAATTTGTGGCTTTTTAACCCTAATCTGAACAGTCCATCTTATATTTTACAATATTTGGACAGATACTAGATCTTGCACGCGACTATCCTGCCCTCATATCATTGAGAAGTTGTGATTTATTGCCATCTAGTTGGATGTCTGTCGCATGGTGATCTAATGCTTAACTTTATTCCTTTCTTTCCTTGCTGTTTCGTTTAGAAATAACAAGGTTAACTTAACCTGATGCTCCGGTGCTGATTTTTTTTGTCTGATAACATTTAAAATGTCATTTTTTAGGTATCCTATATATCGAATACCTACAGGTCCCACTTTAAAAGATTTAGATGCCTGCTTTCTAACCTACCATACACTCCATACACCCTTGACAGGTAATTATGCAACTTCAAGTCTGTGTTTATCTGCAGTGGCATCTTGGCTTTATACTTGGGTATTTCAATATTATTTCCATTTGAGACCCCTGTTTTTGTTCTTCAAAGTTGAAAGTCACATTATTTTGTCCTTGAAATATTCCTCTCGTCAATTAAGTCGTCAACAATGTAAAGTTTCATCATTTTATCCTCCAAAGATTTTTTTACCACAATTTTTCATGTAAATAATGTAAAATGTTACCAATTTAGTAGTCCCTTAAGCATGCAGAAATCAAAGTTCTATCTGTTCAACAATGAAGGACCAATTTGATGATGCTTTTCATAATAAAGGGATTAAGTTGTGTTGGAATTTCTGCCTTCATTGCGGACCACCCCTAGTCGCCTAAATTGCGGTATTTGGTTTGTCTTCATTGCAACCTCCAACACCTTCATTGTGTTGGGTTTGTGTTGGGTTTGAAGGGGTGGATTTAGTCCTACATTGCTTAGAGATATGACCTGTGTTGTGTTTATAAGTGGGGGCAATCTTCACCCTACAAGCCGGTTTTTTAGGAATTAGTTAGGCCACACTTCAGGCTCATTGAGATCCAAGCGTGAGAGAGTGTGTTGGAATTTCCGCCTTAATTGCGGTCCACTCTTAGTCGCCTTAATTGCGGCACTTTGGCTTGTCTTCATTGCAGCCTCCAACGCCCTTCATTGTGTTGGGTTTGAAGGAGTGAATCTAGTCCCACATTGCTTAGAGATATGGCCTATGAAGTGTTTATAAGTGGGGGCAATCTCCACCTTACAATCCGGTTTTGTAGGGATGAGTTATGCCCAACTCAAATTCTAAGACGATATCAGAGCCTATTCTAGATCACTTGTTGGACTTTCCGCATCGTCGGCCTCATTGAGGCTCGAGCGTGACGGGTGTGTGTTGGAATTTCCGCCTTTATTGCGGTATTTGGCTTGCTTTCAATGCAGCCTCCAACATCTTCATTGTTTTGGATTTGAAGGGGTGAATTTAGTCCTACATTGCTTAGAAATATGGCCTGTTGTGTTTATAAGTGGAGGTAGTCCTCACCCTATAAGCCAGTTTTGTAGGGATGAGTTAAGTCCAGCCACACATTCTAAGAAATTGTTATTTAAAAACTAAAGCTGAGATGCAGATGCTTTTATATTTTGGAGGATCAAAATTGGGGTCTTTCCTTTATCCTCTATAATATCGTCGGAAACAATCAACACATTATTCCTATTTTCCCCTCTATCTGCTAGATAAAAAATGGGAAAGGCTTGTATCCAACGAATTTCATTTTGTCTTTCACTAGACTTTTCTAATTCTTGGGAGTAACAATTGCTTCCTCAACTTTTATAAATATAGATACCATCTCCTGCTTTATGTGTTTGTGTCTTTGTTAGGACTGCTTATTAGAAAGTGGAAGAAGACGAATAATTCATCTTCTTAAACTCAAAAAAAGAATTTTGTGTACTGTATTGATTATGTTGGAAAATATTATATTTCTGGTTTTATTATTTCCTTCATGGGACTACCTTTATTTTTCTTTATTTTCCATTATTCTCCGTTAAGGAGAAAATTAAATAAATTGATTGTATCTTCTCTATATAAACCAGCCTAAAGCTGAGGAGTAAAACACAACAACTTTTACCTATTTTTTCCAATAGATTAGAAATTAATTGATTACATTGCAATAGCTTGTGCAAGCAATTTATAGGGAGATGTAACTAACGAAATTAGTTATGCAGTTATTTGCTTGCTGTCCTGACTGCTGACCTAGCCCCCTAGCCCAATTAGTTACGTAATTAGCTATTCTGTTTTGAAAACAGAACAGTTCCAATTACACTCAGCTGTTAACTCAACTTGCACTACTTTACTCGAATATCTCCCCTTTAAATCCTAAAAGATTTGTTGTGTTAGGGAACCTTTGTCAACAACTCGAAGTTTATCTCTTAGAGCAAGAAACCTTAGATGAGAGACAGAATCCTAGTCAACGGGTCAGCATACTAATAAGTTGCGGGGTCTGTTAGCGAGTTTGTTTTTGGAGGGTTTTGGAGAGAAAGACTTTAGAAGGTTGCATCTATATTTTGAAATGTGTTTGATATTTTAAAGAAGTTAAAAAACAATATGATTTTATATGCTAATGTATTAAATAGTTTTTCAAACTTTTTAAAAATATCAAATACATTTCAAAATATAGACTCAACCCTTCAAACCCTTCCCTTCCAAAATCCTCTAAAAACCAACTCCCAAACAGACCCTTTAGAGGGTCTTGTTGATCACCTTTTCCCTTAGAAAGAATATATCCAGTTCCATATGCTTTGTTTTAGCATGCAACACATGATTATGAGACAGAGCCACAGTGCTCAAGTTGTCACAAAATAGGATAGTGTTTCTGTGTTGCGGGAGACTGTTAGGATATTAGAGTGGTTAAAGCAGTTAAGAATTGTTATAGGAGTTAGTTAGTTAGTTGAAGTTGCTATATAGAGTATGTGTATAAATAAGAGAACACAAAAGGTAGAGAGGATCTTGGAATATTTGTAATTGTGAATAGCGTATTCTCTATTGCGAAGGAGAAACCCTTGGAGGAGAGATTCTCTCCTAATCTATCCTATTTCTTAAATAAAGTGTTCTTTATTTGGATTCCAATTCTCAGGTTCCTAACAATTGGTTTGACCTACTGGATCATCGAGGAGTGCCTGTGTTCTTGGAGATGGAGGCGGTGCAAATGGTGAATTTACCGACCTTTACGAGAATAGACCCTATTGGATGGATTGCAAGGGCCGAAAAGATTTTTTGAGATGCAAGAAATTCATGGCTTCAATAGAGTGCAATGGGCATTCATGAGCTTGGATATTGTTTTGGTTTTGTTCTTGGGATCAAGATAACCCCGATCCAAGTTGGGAGTTTTTTTCTATAGGACTGATCAGAAGATTTGGATGACGGAACAACGCTGTACGGAAGAGGGATCAGCAGAAAAGAAATACAAAACCTACAAACAAATTCTTGGTGAAATGGTCAAACAAGAAGAGAAGAGGAGGGACCAAGAAAGAGCAGCAACCCATGTGGTCAAGAAGAGTGTCAAAAGGATTGGCATATCTAAAAGGTTGATGGGTCAAAGAGTATATTCAAAGAGTAAAAATGCTCCATGGTGTGTCCAAGAAGTTGGAAGCACAACCTTCTCTAAAGGAGACCTTGTCACATGAACAGAAAAACTTTTGAAAGGAACAGCCACAGAATCTCGCTCTTGGGCAAGAAAGATGGGTGATGGGACCAGTCCACTGGGGTGGGTGTCATCAAGCCAAGTAACAAAGTTAACAACAGATTGGTCATTGGAAACAATGCTGGAAAATCTAGAAACAGAAAAAGAATGTTGCAAAGCGGCAGAAAGAAGGAACCAGTCCATTGGGGTGGGTGTCATCACGGCAAGTAACAAAGTTAACATTAGATTGCTCATTGGAAACAATGCTGGAAAATCAAGAAACAGAAAAAGGATGTTGCATAGTGGCAGAAAGAAGGGATTCGTGCATGTTAGTCATGCCTCCGCCACTAAAACCACTAGACAGTGATACTTGCACAGTAGTTGTTGCTATGGTAATGGAAGAAGTATGGAAGGGGAAAGCTAGAAAATGGAAAAGGCCTTTTTGTTGGTTTGGTCCAAGGATAAATCTGATGGGCATGACCCAAATAGATTCTAATGTGTACCTTCAAGAAAGAAAGCTCGCCACTAGCCCAAATCTAAGCCAATATCTCGTGGACTGGAGCCCTTCACTGCACAAGATTTTCCTGCCGAATAGAGAAGAAATATGAATAATCAATCAGATACACTGCAATGTGTAGTGACCCTCATATTTATATTAATAGGTTAAAGAGTAATACATAAGAAAAGAAAGGAAAATGGGCTAAACCTATACTTAATAGTAAACCCTAGTAATATATTGTCATAATATAATTCTTAATAACATTTGTTAGTAGAAAATTGAAAATATATTATCAGAGAAAATTGACCGCCACTTATTAGATTTTTGGTTATGGAAGAGACAAGAAGGTTATTAAGTGTGAGCGGCGCGTGAGGGTGTATAGATGAGGTAAAAGTACTAGAGCCAGCAGTGTGTATATGCAAACCTTGACCATTGTCTATATAAATTTGATCATGACCGGGAGTGAGCTGTTGTAGATTTTTAGCATCACTGGTCACATAGAATGAAGCTTCTGAATCAGGGAACCAAGAGATAGAAGTTGAAGGTGTAGCATTGGCATTGAAGGTGCCTGGGAGGATAGGTGAATATTGGAGATTGTCTAGAGGGTGGTGAATGCCCTGTCCACATAGGTGTTGGAGTAACCATAAAACGAGGGTTGATTGTAGCCACCGTAGTTAGACTGAGCTTGAAACTGTTAATTAAACCGGTGCCAACAATTAAAGGCAGTGTGACCGTACTTGGAGCATACTTGGCACTGTACATTTGAGTTGAGAAAATGTCCTCCTCTACCTCAACCATTATATGACCACCACGATTGGTTTGTCCACCACGAAAGACATGATAGTCTTGCTCTAGATTAGGTGAGGGAGCATATCCACTTGTAGCTGGAGTTGAATCTTCATTAGAATTTGAAGTTTGAGGTGGTGTAGTGTGAGTTAGGTTGAGAGAGGCCAAGTCAGTAATACATTGTTTCTTGAATTTGGCAAGACGTAGTTCATGAACTAGCAATAGAATTTCCACTTCATCTAGATCCATACACCAAATTTACTCTCAACGACACAAAGACAACTGTTGCATAATCAGAAGGTAATCCTTCAAGGATCACATCAATGTAATGGCTACAAGGTATAGGATCTCCAATGGAGGCTAGAGCATCAACAGTCATACAAATTTTTAGGAGATAGTCTTGAATGAAGAGTTTTCAAGCACAAATGCTCGAAGCTCAACCTTGAGATGATGTGGTCTAGCACGAGTTTGCTTCTGAAAATAATTGAACAACCGATCCCACAGTTGATGCACATGAGTGGAACCAAGAACTTGTGAAAGGATTTCACTAGAGAGCGGAGACTGAAGCCATGATAGCAACATTTGGTCTCGTTGAAGCCACACTATATACCCAGGATTAACAGATCTAGCACGGCGCAACTCTTCATCTAAGAACTGACAAGGAATTTGAGTATAAGCTACGAATTCGGTGAGGTTATGCACATTAATGTAAGGTTCTACCTGTTGGCGCCATAGATGTAAGCTCTTTTCATCTAGTTTTAGCGAGATCTTGAGCGAAAAATGGAGACGATGTCAATCGTCAACTGAATTCGAGTGCGCCAGCGATGGAACTTGTGATACTTGGGCGGAAGACGGTGGCGATACCGGTGGAGGTGTCAAGGCCGCCATGGATCGCAATTAGCAATCTGATACCATAATAGAAAGTGTTGAGAGAGAGAGAGAGAAAGAGAGTAACCATTTTCTGTTGTAACTGATTTTTCATTTATGAAAAGTTAGTTACAAGAGAGAAACTGTTTGCATTTATAGACGCAGAGTTCCCTATTACATGCTGACGGATGTTAGTTACAAGATAACTAACTTGAACATTTGTTAGCATATCTCTAATAGGGTGAGTATTGTTGGAATGTATTCTATAAGGTGCAGGAGGTGGATATGGTGACCTAGGTATAGATACATTAGAAGTTGGTGAGGACATGTACATGGTGTGTATGCTAGAAGATGGAGTGTTTGTGGACTGTGTAAGGCTAGGTGTGGGTAAGGCAGGATTGTGCCATTGAATAGAACTGGAGCTATTTTGGTGAGTGGAGTTTTGGGTGACATTGAATAGAACTGGTGCTATTTTGGTGAGTGGAGTTTTGGATTGATCAGGTATAGTTGAGAGTGTTGGTAATTTAAAGGAACTATGGTTAGGGATATGACTCAGAGTTGTAGATTGAAGGATAATGAAGGAATGAAAGTTAATGTGGTGGAGTTGTTTGTGAGAGGTGAGGTAAGAAACATAATTAAATAGGAAAACCTCAATTCATTGAATATCACATCTTTGGAAATGTATATTCTTCCATCATTGGCTAGACACTTGTATCCCTTGTGATTAGAAGAGTAGCCAAGAAAGAGGTATTCTTTGGAGCTGTAAGCAAATTTGTGAGGATTGTAGGGTCTTAATTTGGGTAGTGGGCATAACCAAAAGTTTTAGGAAACATGTAATAAGGGATAACTTTGTGCAGGGAAAAGTAGGGAGAAGTCATGGCTAGGATGATAGTAGGCATACAGCTTATGAGATAGGATGCAACTTGAAAATCATGGTCCTAGAACAAGAGGTATATTGGCCCGAGCTAGAAGAGTAAGGCTGATTTCCACCTGATGATGCCTATGCTTTCTCTCAACAAATCCATTTTGGTGATATGTGTGAGGGCAGGTTAGTCTATGAGTTATACCTTGCTGAGTGAAGGAGAGTAGGGTTTGAGATTTCCCCTTCCTTCAATTTGAACGGCCTTAACATTGTTGTTAAACTGAGTGGCAATGAGAGTTGTGACGTGTGTGAGAGTGACATGCACTTCTGGTTTTAGCTTTAGAAAAAAGGTCCAAGTGTATTTAGAAATAAGTAGATATTTAGTGAGAAGAGATCATAGGTTTTGGCCCCAAACATCAGCAAATAGCAAATCAAAGGGAGCAATATAGGAAGTAGTTGAAGTTAATAAAGGTAACATGTGAGCTTTGCCCAAGCAACAAACAGTACAAAAATCAAATTTTGATTGCATAGGTATAGGAATGTTACACAGTCAGAGTAGCCTTGAGCACCTCGTGATGAGGGTGGTCTAATCTATTGTGCCACAGTGGATACAAAAGGTCCTATATTAGGGGCATTACAATTTGCAAAAGAATTGAAAGCTACGGGTGTAGTACTGGTGAATGTGTGAACATGAGGTGATTTAGAAGTGATAGAACCAGATTTTGCTGGCTGCAGTTTGCCAAAGGAATAGAGTCCATCCTTTCCAAGAGATCTTTGTAGTAATACTTCAGATGTAGCCTGATTTTTAACAAGACACAAATCAGGATGAAGCTCAAAGTAAACTTGATTATCTTTGGCAAACTGACTCACAGAGATCAAGATTTTAGTGATATTAGGAAGAAGCAAGTTATTCAGGGTTAATGTAGTGTGTGATTTGTGTGATGAGTGAAAAACAGTGGATTCAATGGAAGTTATAGGAAAACTTTCCATTCCCTCTTAATAATTGAACCAAAACACTCAGAGTTTAAAATAATCTCTCCCCTCCCCTCCCCTCCCCTCCCCTCCATTACCTTCCAACCAAACATGCCTGAGATGATAAACTAAGAAATTCTAATATAACTTCCAAGAGTGCCTAACTACACTTTCCTTTCTTTGAATATTATCATTTTAATTAAAATCTAGATACACTTGCTTTACAATTACATTGCTCACACCTGCACATGTAGTAGTTCTGCAGAACTCGTCACAAATGGCTGTGCATCATAAAGCCAAGTGTACAGCTAAGAACAGAAAGTGCTAGTCTGCAACTGATTTGTAACCACATTTTTTATTGAATTCTTATGGATATTTTGATAGAACTTTGACACTTGAAATTGACAAATATGGAAAAACACAAACTGATTCTTATCATTACTTAACTTGATGGTAGCTGTTATTAAGCAAAAATCATTCATGCTTTCAAGAACATGAAATATACTTTCTGTTTGTTGCAGTGTTGGCTGATATAATTTTCAACATATTTATTTTGATTAGTTGCAGGAAGTGTTACTACGCCTGGTCTTACCCTGGTTTATCCTAGTGAGATGGATGGTGTACCAAATATTTCCATACCTACTTTTGCAATGGCTGCTTATAAATTAAAGGGATCTATTTGGATGAAAAAAGAAGCTGGTGACAATCAAGTAATGCATTCACTCTTGCAAGCTGCAGATAAATGGTTAAGGCTAGTTCAGGTGACTCACCCGGATCATCAGTTTTTTAAATCACATGGCACATACTACAAATGAGTTTAATGATATGATGACATGCCAGTTCCATGCCCTTGGTTAAAACTAAGCCTTAATTTTGTTCCATTGGTGCAAACTTTAAAAAGTCGATCCATCTGTAGAGATTGTGATGACATGGTGTAGACAGCCTGATTGTTGGTTTTTGTTATACGCCTAAGCAGCACAAAAGATGAAAGCTGATCTCGAGCGATGAATTTGCTGAGATTGTCTAAGCGAAAATGAAAAAGAAAAAAATCGTTTTTTTTTATAAATGGAAAAACTCCCTAGTGAAAAGGGAGAAAAACAAAATATGAAACAAAAGTAAAAGTGAGTGTAGCGAACAGATTAACAGAGAGGATGTGTGGGTTCAAGCCAGACTGCACAAGTATCTACAGTTGAATAATGGCTGTGATCCCTTTAATTT